TCCAAAACACAGTCCGAACACGCCCCTAAGCCCGAAATCACCCAATGGAGCTAAAGGAACCAACGAAATTCCATTCCAAAGCCGTATTCACACTACTCCAACTACGGTCCAAATTCTAAAGCTTAAGCTCTCATTTAGGGACTAAGTGTCCCAAAACACTCTGAAACTCAAAACCAAACATCCCGGCAAATCAAAATAACAGAAACAAACATAGGGAAAGCAGTTAATAGGGGATCGGGGCCTAAATTCTTAAAACGACCGGCTAGGTCGTTACATCCTCGTACAGTTAAACATTCATTCGTCCTCGAACGAGCACAGAGCCATACCTGAAGTAGTGAAAAAATGAGGGTAATGGCTGCGCATATCCTGCTCGGTCTCCCAGGTTGCCTCCTCGACCGGCTGACCCCGCCACTAAACTTTCACTGATACAATATTCTTTGACCTCAGCTTTCGAACCTGCCTATCCAATATTGCAACTGGCTCCTCAACATAAGATAGATCCTTGTCCAACTGAACTGAACTAAAATCCAACACATGCAACGGATCACCGTGATACCTCCGAAACATTGAAACATGAAATACCGGATGAACTCTTGCCAAGTTGGGAGGTAAGTAAAGCTCATAAGCAACCTCCCCAACACACCGCAATATCTCAAAAGGACCAATAAATCTCGGACTCAACTTCCCTTTCTTCCCGAATCTCATAACGCCCTTCATAGGTGAAACTCAAAACAGAACCCGCTCTCCAACCATATAGGAAACATCACAAACCTTCCGATCCGCGTAACTCTTCTGTCTGGACTAGGCTGTACGGAGTCTATCCTTAATCACCTTAACCTTCTCCAAAGCATCCTAAACCAAGTTTGTGCCCAATAATCTAGCCTCACCCGGCTCTAACCAACCCACCGGAGATCTACTCTGCCTACCATATAAAGCCTCATACGGTGCCATATGAATGTTGTACTAATAGTTGTTGTTGTAGGCAAACTCCTACAATAGAAAGAATTGATCCCAAGACCCTCCAAACTCAATCACACACGCACGTAACATATCCTCAAGAATCTAGTGCACTCGGACTGTCCATTCGTCTGAGGGTGAAATGTTGTACTCAACTCTACTCAAGTACCCAACTCATGTTGTACGACCCTCTAGAACCGTGATGTGAACTGAGTACCTCTATCTGAAATGATGGAAACTGGAATACCATGCAGACGAACAATCTCCTGGATATAAATCTCTGCCAAATGCTCCAAAGAATAGGTAGTACACATAGGAATGAAGTGTGTGGACTTGGTCAGCCGATCCATAATCACCCAATGGACTCGAACTTCCTTAAAGTCCGTGGGAGTCCAACTACGAAGTCCATGGTGATCCGCTCCCACTTCCACTTCGGAATCTCTATCTACTAAAGTAACCCACCCGGTCTCTGGTGCTCATACTTCACCTGCTGATAATTAAGGCACCGAGCTACAAACCCAATTATATCTTTCTTCATCCGCCTCCACCAATAGTGCTGCCTCAAATCCTGGTACATCCTCACGGCACTCGGATGAATGGAATACCGCGAACTATGGGCCTCCTCTAGAATCAACTCCCGAAGCCCATCAACATTGGGTACACAAATCCGACATGCATCCTCAATACCCATCATCACCAATTGTCACATCTTTGGCATCACCGTACTGAACCTCGTCCTTGAGGACAAGCAAATGAGGGTCAACAAACTGACGCTCCCTGATACGATCAAATAATGAAAACCGAGAAACCATGCAAGCTAAAACCCGACTAGGCTCAGAAAGATCCAATCTCACAAACTGGCTAGCTAAGGCCTGAACATCCATCGCCATGGGCCTCTTCGCTGTTGGTAAATAAGCCAAACTCCCCAAACTCTCTGGCCGGCAACTCAAAGCATCGGCCACCACATTGGTCTTGCCCGGGTGATACAAAATAGTGATATCATAGTCTTTCAACAGATCTAACCACCTCCTCTGGTGCAAATTAAGATCCTTCTGCTTGAATAGATGTTGAAAACTCCGGTGATCAGTATAAATCTCACAAGGCACACTGTACAAATAATGATGCCAGATCTTGAAGGCGTGAACAATAGCAGTTAACTCGAGATCATGGACATGATAATTCTTATCATGTACCTTCAATTGTCTGGACGTGTAGGCAATCACCCTACGGTCCTACATCAATACCGCTCCAAGTCCATTCCTCGAGGCATCATAATAGATAGTATAAGACCCCGAACCTGTAGGCAATATCAAAACTAGGGTTGTAGTCAAAGCTGTCTTGAGCTTCTGAAAGCTCGCCACACACTCTTCCGTCCACTGGAACGGAGCACCTTTCTAGGTCAGCCTGGTCATAGGGGCTGCAATCGATGAAAACCCCTCAACAAAACGACGGTAGTAACCCGCCAAGCAAAGAAAATTGTGGATCTCTGTAGCTGAGGATGGTCTGGGCCAACTCTGCACTGCCTCCACTTTCTTCAGATCCACTTGAATAGCCTTACTCGATACCACGTGGCCTAAGAATGCCACGGAATCCAACCAAAACTCACATTTTGAGAACTTTGCATATAACTTCTTTTCCCTCAAAGTCTGAAGCACAGTCCTCAGGTGCTGCTCATGATCTTCCCGACTCCGGGAATACACCAGAATATCATCAATAAAAACAATAATGAACGAGTCAAGATATGGATGGAACACAATGTGCATCAAATGCATAAAGGTTGTTGGGGCATTGGTCAGCCCAAATGACATAACAAGGAACGCGTAATGACCATATCGAGTCCTGAAAGTAGTCTTCGAGATTTTTGGCTCCCGAATCTTCAACTGATGGTAACCTGAGCGCAAGTCAATCTTAGAAAACACTCGTGCGCCCTGAAGTTGGTCAAGCAAATCATCAATACTCAGCAAAGGATAACGGTTCTTCACTGTAACTTTGTTCAGCTGGCGATAATCAATACACATACGCATAAAACCATCATTTTTCTTCACAAACAAGACAGGAGCACCCCCAAGGTGATACACTGGGCCGAATGAAACCCTTATCAAGCAATTCCTGTAACTGATCCTTCAACTCCTTCAACTCAGGAGGGGCCATACGATACGAAGGAATAGAAATGGGCTGAGTGCCCGACAACAGATCAATGTCAAAATCAATATCTCTATCGAGCGGCATGCCCGGAAGATCAGCTGGAAACACATTAGGAAAATCCCATACTATTGGGACTGAATCAACTATAGGGGTATCAGTACTAATATCTCTCACATAAGTTAGATACGCATCACACCCCTTCTCAACCATTCGTTGAGCCTTAATGAAAGAAATAACTCTACTAGGAGTGTGATCTAAAGAACCCCTCCACTCAATATGTAGTACACCTGGCATAACCAGTGTCACGGTTTTGGCATGACAATCAAGAATAGCATAATGAGGTGACAACCAGTCCATGCCCAAGATAATATCAAAATCTACCCTGCTGAGTAACAATAAATCGGCTCTGGTCTCAAAACCACTAAGAGCAACCAAACACGACTGATAAACGCGGTCCACAATAAGAGAATCTCCTACATGAGTAGAAATATAAACAGGGGAACTCAAAGAATCCCGAGATACACCCAAATGCGGATAAAAATAAGAAGACACATAAGAATAAGTGGATCCTGGATCGAATAAAACCGATGCATCTCAATGACAAACTAGGACAATACTTGTGATGACAGAATCGGAGGCAACAACCTCGGTACGGGCAGGAAGGGCATAGTATCTGGCCTGGCCTCCCATATAGGGAGACCTCTACCTCCCTGACCTCCACCTCTAGTTGGCTGAGTAGGTGGGGTAGAAACTAGAGCTGTAACCAAAGCCTGAGAACTCTGCGGGGCACGCTGCGGTTGAGAATTCTGTGGAGGTGCACCCCTCATAAGTCTGGGGAAATCCCTCACCATATGGCGTGTGTCACCACACTCAAAACAAGCTCTAGGAGGATGTGGCGACTGTGACTGGCTCGGGCCAGGTCTACCAGACTGACCACTGAAAGCACCCCGCGCAGGAGGTGCACTAGATACTGGAGGTGCATAATAAGGCTCCTAAGGCCTAGGAGGAACTGGAATACCACTGGCTGCTGGAAGAGCTGAACGAACGGGGAAACTTATATAACCCCTACCATGACGACCCGCAGCTGGGGCACGGGCACCAGAATAATGGCCCGACTCTCGAGACTTCTTGGCCTCCCTCTCCTCTCTATCCCTAGCATGCATACCCTCAATCCTCCAAGCAATGCTCACCACATGATGATAAGAAATATCCATCTCCAACTCACGAGCCATGCTAGACGTGATGCTGGGAATAAGCCCCTCAGTAAACTGGCGAACCCTCTCGCGGACAGTAGAAACCAAGGCTGGGGCATGTCTAGCCAAGCTACTGTTACAGACAACATACTCCAAGATAGTCATAGTACCCTGGCGCAAATGCTCAAACTCTGCGCGCCATGCGTCCTTGAGGCTCTGAGGAACATACTCTCTCAGGAACATATCTAAAAATTGAGTCCAAGTCAGGGAAGCATCCTCAACTGGACTGTCTAACTCATAGGTGCGCCACCACTCATAGGCGACTCCTCGAAGCTGGAAGGTAGTGATGAAAACCCCGCTCGACCCTGATATACTCATGGTACGGAGAATATGGTAGCACTTATCTAGAAATTCCAGAGTATCATCTGATGCTAGTCCCCTGAATACAGGAGGCTTGTACTTCTTGAACCTCTCAAGCCTCAGCTGCTCATCCCTGGAAACCGCTGCCCTGTCCTCGGGCTGATCTGGGACTGCAGGTTGTACATGAATAATCTCTGAAACCTGATCAACATGCACTCGCTGCTCAGGAGTGCGGGCGGCAGGAGTCTGTGCTCCTCCCCCGGCTTGAGATATAGCTGCAGTAAGGGGAAACAACCCTGCCTGAGCCAGAGTGGTGTATATGCTCATGAACTGTGCAAGAGTCTCCTAAAGTGCTGGAGTAGTAGCAGCAGTAGGCGTAGTTCTAGCTGGAACTGCTGGTGGCTCCTCAGTGGTAGCTCTCCCGGGTGCTCTGACTGCACCGCGTGTGCGTCCTCGACCTCTATTCCGGCCCCGGCCTCTGACGGCTGCAGTAGGGGGCACGAGTGCCTGATCATCTCTAGTAGCACGTGTCATTACCATATGTGAGAGAATAAAAGAGAGAAGTTTAGAATTGTGATATCAAAAATATTGCACGACAAGGAAATAAAATGAAGTGGAATTTTCCTAACAGTTACATAGCCTCTCGTAGATAAGTAAAGACGTCTCTGTACCGATCCGCGAGACTCTAATAAACCGACTTGTGATTCATGACTCCTATGAACCTAGAGCTCTGATACCAACTTGTCATGACCCCAGTTCGCCCTCCGTGAACTATCTTGACGGCACCTAGTCTCTACGACTAGGTAAGCCTAACAAATGCGGAAAAGAAACAATTACAAAAAGAAAATAATTAAAAATCGAGATAACAAAATGAAACATTATTTAAGTTCCGCCTGGCATATAATAGTACAAGAATCTAAACCTAACACTCCCAAAATTCGGAACCCCATGAATCACAAGCTAAGAGTTTACATAAAAAGCTCTAACTCCAGAAATATCTATCGACAAGGAAAATACAGAAGGGCTATACTAGTACTGAGAATAGAAAGTGATTCTTCGGTCTGCGGACGCAACAGATATATCTCAAAGTCTTTGTGAAAGCGCCTCGCCTCAAATGTGATAAGACTGAGTGGAAGTACCTCGATTTGCACATGAAAAACATGTGCATAAAGAGCATGAGTACACCACAACGGTACTCAGTAAGTGTCAAGCCTAACCTCGGTCGGGTAGTGACAAGGAAGGTCAGGACCCTACTGAGATTAAATAAAATATAAGGTATAACAATATAGAATGAGATAGTACAACTAAGTGCAATAGTAAGAAATAACACAAAATAGAAGAACAACAGCAACTATAATAGAGATCTCAGCTCAACACAGAGATATCAAACGGGGATCTCCCAGGATACCGTCCTGTACTCCCCAAATATAAATATCCAGTGGCTCTCCCGGGTGTAGTCCCGTAGTCCAACTCATAATGCGCGGGGATCTACCAAAAATCCGATTCGTAGTCCCAAATATAAATATCCAGTATAGGGGGAATCTATCAGGTGCAGTCCCGTAGTTCCAATGTAAATGTGTAGGGGGATCTACTGGAATACCAATCCGTAGTTCCAAAGTAAACACGCAGGGGGATCTCCCAGGATACCGTCCCGTAGTCCCAAAGTAAACGCACAACAACAACACAAAGAATAGACAATTCAATTCAAATTCCATACTAAGGTAAAACAAGTATCTCTAGCCTAGCATGCTGCACATAATCCAAATAAGGCAGTTTGAGCAAGTAAAGCAATTAAGTCAATTAAACATGCTTCACTAAGCTAACAACAGACTTGAATTGCAAGTAGTATAAACAGGAAAAGAACACAATTATAATTACTTAATGAAAACCGGATTTTTCAACAATTAGCACTCATTACCTCATGTACAAGGCATTTCAAATATAATAATACCAAATACTAAGGGGGGGNCTCGGTTCCACGTCTCGAAATCAGATAAAATTTACATTTTCGGAATCCTCATACTCTCACGAGTCTAACCATACCAAAATTATCCAAATTCAATGTCAAATTCCCAATCAAAACTCGAAATTTAGGTCTAAGAACTTTCTCCAAATTTTTCCCAATTTCTCACCCCAAATCCGAAATTAGATGATGTATTCATGTTTAGATTAATGAGTTATAAGCAAAAGGGAGTTAAGAATCATTACCCAATCGATATCTCTGAAAATCTCTCAAAACCTCGCTCAAATCCGAGCTCCCAAAATTTAGTTTTAAAATGGCTAAATCCTCGACTTTGAAATTTTATATTCTGTCCAGATAAATCATTCTTCGCGAACGCGGAAGGACCCTCGCGTTCGTGAAGCACAACTCCGCTTGGTCCAGCTTTCCTCTTTCGCGAACGCGATGCCCAAGACGCAAACACGATGACCAACTTCCCTCCTCATACGCGAACGCGGGACTACCTTCGCGAACGCGTAGGTATAAGATCCCACAATCTCGAAAACGCGGGAATACCTTCGCGAACGCGAAACATTAAGGTTTCACCAGCCCCGGCTCCTCTTCGCGAACGTGAGACCCCACTCGCGAACGCGAAGAAGGAAACCAGAACTGACTGCTGCCACTTTTTCTGCAATTCTCTAAGTTCCAAAAATGACCCGTTGAGCATCCGAAACACACCCGAGGCCCCCGGGACCTCAACCAAACATGTCAACCAATCCGAAAACATCTTTCAAACTTGTTCCAATCTTCGGAATGCTCAAAACACATCAAAACACCAATTTAACATCGGATTCAAGCCTAAGAACTCCAAAACTCTCAAATTACGCTTTCGATCAAAAAGTCTACCAAACCTCGCCCGAATGACCTGAAATTTTACAAGCACGTCACATTCAACACTACGGAGCTACTCCAACATCCGGAATTCCATTCCGACCCCAATATCAAAATCTCACTATCGAACCGGAAACTTCAAAAATTCAACTTTCGGCATTTCAAGCCTAAATAAGCTACGAACTTCCAAAACACAATCCGAACACGCCCCTAAGCCCGAAATCAACCAACGGAGCTAACAAAACCGACGGAATTCCATTTCAAGGCCTTCTTCACACTGCTCCGACTACGGTCCAAATTCTAAAGTTTAAGCTCTCATTTAGGGACTAAGTGTCCCAAACTCAAAACCAAACATCCCGGCGAATCAAAATAGCAGAAACAAACACGGGGAAAGCAGTTAATAGGGAATCGGGGTGTAAATTCTTAAAACGACTAGCCGGATCGTTACATCCATAATAGTAAGGTATGATAGGCGTAGTATCTGTTAATACTTGACAACAAATACCATCTCCAAATTTCAAAATACGTGTCTTTCATAAGCTGCAATTGCTAGTATTCAACATCAATTAGTCCAGGAATATAAAACGAGCAGCAAACGAAAGCAACAATGACCATGGGACTAAGAGCCTGTTTGGAAAAAATAATTCACTTTTTTTTAAATCAGCGTTTGTTCATAAAATATTTAATTTTTCACTTGAAGATGCATTTTGGAATTTTTCAAAAATTTGAAAAACTCCAAAATGTTATTTTTCAAAATTTCACTCTGATCACTCATAAAACTTCTAAAACAATCTAAAATGATATTCATGTCTAAACACAACTCTAAATTTGAAATACCATTTTCATTTGAAATTTTTTTTCACTTTTTTTTTTAAAAATTTACAATTCTTATGTCCAAACGCCCAATAAGTTCTAAACAGGCAACACAATGTAACAATTGTAGAAAGAAATTCCAACACAAATAGAAGCGATATGATGATAAAGAGCAACATTTTAACAGAATTAACCGGGTAATAGATAAGTCGTCCATCAAATAAGGTAGAATCTGAAAGTTAATACTATCTCAATTTCAATTTATGTGAACCTATTTTATTATTAGTCCGTGTCAAAAAGAATGGCCAATTTTTTTTATATGGAAACAATTTACGTTTATGCAACGATTTGTAGCCACACAAAATATATATGCCTCATTTTAAACCACAAGTTCAAAAGTCATCTCTCTTTCCTTAAAATCAGTGCTCAATCAAATGGGTTTACATAAATTAAAATGGAGGGAGTAACAACCAGAGCAACGAGGCAAAATAACATCGCCGGAGCTCAAATTTTCCGGCCAGTTTCAAAGAAGCAAAGGGAGCACAAAAATGACCGGCAAGCGAAGCACTCCGGCGGAGTCAAGATAATAAAATAACACAGAAAACCTTCAGCTAAACGGAGATCTGGTGGTCCCAGTTGTAATGCCGACTGCCAAAAAGCATGGGGGCTATCGAAATTTTATTTCCGGTTAGATCTGACACACCGGTAAAGTTTTTTGACCGGCTAAACAGAGAAGATCCGACCAGCACTTAAGATAATCCAAAAAACGCTTTGAACAATACTAACCCAAATATTAATGATAAAGTAAAAAGAAATAATAGAGAAGAGAAGGGACTGCTTGTTTACCCGTCAAAATGATACAGTTGAATTTATATATAATTTTTAGACAAATAAATTTAATTTGATTCTGAAACAATAAGATAATTGAAGAAATATATAACACTTAGCTTTTATATGAGCACAAAATGATAAAAATAAAGATTACGATAACGAACCCTCCGGGCGCAACAGTAATGAGAAGATAAAATTGTATAGAGTTTGAATAGATTTTAGTATAATTTGCCAGAAAATTCGTTTCCTTACATTGATAACAGAACTCACTATATATAGCTAACAATGTCCTAGGATGGTGTCCTTCTTTAATGTCAATTATGACGGTCATTGATGAAGATGTAACGGTGAACATAAATGACAAATTCTTTGTAACGGGTAGTACACTTAATGTCGTGCAATATTTTTTGTTAATGCCACCGAGTGGAAGGTATTTATTGCTTTTTTATGAGTCTCATTTTCTACAGTTCCAAACAAGATAGTTGCATTCGGTTTCACGTGTGATTCTTTTAAGCGGCCACCTAACACTGCATATTTACCCTATACACTACTAGAGACAGTGGCGTTGTGAGAAGTTGCCGGCCTTCGTCGGTGATTAAATCCGGCGGGCGGCAGAGGAGTGGAAAAAGGGGCAGACGAGAGAGAAGGGGCCTTGGTAGTTATCCCTCATTTGAGAGAATGATAAAAAATTAGAGTATTAGGGTTTCATACCCTATTAAAACAAAATCGGATGGTGTATGTAAAGTAGAATAGTGTGTAGGTGTTTTTATTTATTTATAGTGTATTTAAAAAATATGTGGACCCAATTTAATTGAAAATAAATGTAATTTAAAAATAAAAATATGTGGTCCACAATAAAACTATCAATTTAAAAATTATGGGCTGAGTACCGGATGCACTTTATTTTATCCGTGTATTTGTAATACTAGTGTAATTTAGTTAGCTGTTATAAAACTATTATATTATGGATGTCCATTTATTACTCCGCTATAGATATCTTCCTGAAGAAGATTATCCATTTAGTACTCTGTTGAAGTTTATCTACAGGCAGCAGATGCAGGCAGGTTGCAAGCAACTCAATGAAATAATTTGCAGCAGCTTTTTATTAAACAGACAGGTTGCGAGTAGCTCATGAAGATAGCTTACAAGCATCTCAAGAAAGGACTTGCAGATGCTTCCTGAAAAGTCTCGCAGCTGCTTTCTAAAAAGCCTCGCAACTGTTTCTTAAAAAGCCTCGCAGCTACTTCATTTCGTCTATAAATAGAAGAGTTTTTAGTTCATTATGTACATCAGTTTGAAAGTTGAATAATATATCAGTTTTTCTATATACTTGTCTTTGGTTTATTTACTTTACAATCGTTATTTTATAACACGTTATCAGCACGAGACTCTTCCATCTCGAGCAAATACTTTGAAAGTATCAGAGGTACGAACTTTCTTTTTCTAAATAATGTCAAATCTTTCTAAACTTGAATTTGTAACCCTGGATATATCGGGAAAAAGCTACATGTCTTGAGTGCTTGATGATGAAATTCATCTTGATGTGATGGGTTTGGCAGATACCATCAAGGACAGAAATCAAGCATCAAACCAAGATTGTGCCAAAGCAATGATATTCTTGTGCCATCACTTTGATGAAGGCTTGAAAATGGAATATCTCACTGTTAAAGATCTAGTTATACTGTGGAATAATTTGAAAGATAGATATGACCACCTGAGGATGGTCGTTCTTCCATAGGCACGTTATGACTAGACTCATTTAAGGCTACAAGAGTTTAAATCTATCAGTGAGTATAATTCTGCTATGTTCATAATTATTTCCCAATTGAAATTATGTGGTGATAATATTACTGATCATGATATGTTGGAGAAAACTTTCACCACTTTTTATGCCTCGAATATGCTCCTGCAGCAGCAATATCGAGAGATGGGATTCAAAAAATATTCTGAACTTATCTCACATCTTCTTGTAGCCGAGAAACATAATGGGCTATTAATGAAAAAACATGAAAGTCGATCTACTGTTCTTGTACATTCCCTGAAGTGAATGACATGAACTTCCACCAAGCTAAGCGTGGAAGAGGTCGTGACCCCAGTCATGGTCATGGCCGTGGTTGGGAAGAAACTCTAATCATGGTAATTTTAATGCACCAAAGAACCCTCCTAATCACCAGCAGTGGAAAAGGAAGGAACAAAAGCATGAAGCGATGCAAGCAACAAATGCAAAAAATGGATGCTATAGATGTGGAGGAAAATGGCACTGGTCACGTACCTGTCGTACGCCAAAGCACCTGGTTGAACTTTATCAAGCCTCCCTAAAAAAGACAGAGAAAAATGCTAAAGCAAATTTTATTTCTGAAGATAATTTAGACTTCATGCATTTAGATGTAGCTGATTACTTTGCACTCCCAGAAGGAAAAATAAGTCATGTAATCGGTGATGAATCTGTAAAAATATAAATATTTTAATTTTTGTTGTTTGTAGTAGATAGTATGGTTATGTAATTATTGTACATAAATAAAAGTTATGCTTTGATAATGATGTTTATTATAATATATTTTGTTTATGTCATTTTGAAGAATATGGATAATCCTCAAATTATGTTTGGATCAAAGACCAATCACGAAGATATTTGTGTAATTGATAATGGAACAACTCATGCCATATTTAATGATCAGCAATACTTTTCTTATTTGCATAGGGAAAAAGTAAATGTTTCTACAATTTCTGGTAATATAAGTTTAATTGAAGGCTCCGGAAGAGCTACTGTATTTCTGTCTAAAGGAACAAAACTTATTATTGACAATGCATTATCCTCTTTCAAGTCCCGAAGAAACTTGTTGAGTTTTATAGATATCCGTCGAAATGGGTATCATATTGAGACAATAGATGAAATAAATGTGGAATATCTGTGTACTACAAAGAATATTTCGGGCCAGAGGTGCATTGTAGAAAAGTTACCAACTTTATCTTCTGGCTTATACTATTCAAAGATTAGTACAATTGAAGCACACTCTATCGTAAACCAGAAGTTTTTTGATTCATATATTTTTGTGCTTTGGCATGGCCGCTTGGGCTATCCTGGATCAATAATAATGAGATGAATTATTAAAAATTCGAGTGGGCGTCTACTAAAGAACCTGAAGATTCTTACAAATGATGAATTTTCATGTGATGCTTGTTATCAAGGAAAAATGATCACTAGACCATCATCAACGAAGGTTAGCATGGAATCCTCTGCCTTTTTAGAGAGTGTACATGGGGATATATGTGGACCTATTCACCTACCAAGTGCATTGTTTAGATATTTTATGGTCCTAATAGATGCATCTTCAAGATCGTCTCATGTGTGTCTACTATCATCTCGCAACCTGACGTTTGCAAAGCTATTAGCCCAAATAATTCGATTAAGGGAACAATTCCCAGATTATCCTGTAAAGGCTATTCACCTTGATAATACTGGAGAATTCTCATCTCAAGCTTTTGATGATTATTGTCTATCAATTAGGATAAAAGTTGAACATCCTATAGCTTATGTTCGTACTCAAAATGGCCTTGCAGAGCCATTTATTAAACGCCTGCAATTGATAGCAAGACCACTACTTATGAAAATAAAATTGCCCACTACTGTTTGGGGCCATGCTATTTTTCATGAAGCATCACTTATTCGTCTCAGACCGACATATTATAATAAATATTCTCTGTCATAATTAGTTTTTGGTCATGAACCAAATATTGCTCATCTACGAATTTTTGGATGTGTTGTATATGTGCAGTAGCACCACTACAGCGCAGTAAGATGGGCCCTCAGAGAAGGTTAGGAATATATGTTGGGTTTGAATCACCCTCTATTATTCGCTATCTTGAACCATTGACGGGAAATTTATTTACTGCTCAATTTGTAGATTGTCGATTTGATAAAACAAATTTTTCACAATTAGGGGGAGAGAAAAAAGAAATCAAAAGAGAAATTGTGTGAAAAGTTTCATCATTATCTCATTTTGATCCACGTACCCATATATGTAATCAGGAGGTCCAGAAGATCATCCATTTACAGAATATAGCAAATCAAATGCCAGCGCGTTTACTGATTTGAAAAGGATAACTAAGTCACATATCCCTGCAGAGAATATGCATATCCGAATTGATGTCCCAACAGGATGATAGCTAGTGAACCTAAAGCACGCCTGAAGCTTGGTAGACCTTTGGGTTCTAAGGATCGAAATCCTAGAAAAAAAATCGACAAATGATCAAAATGATATTATGAAGGGATCTCCTGAAGAGACCTAAGATTTGATTAGTTCTAAGATTCCTGAAGAAATCAATGAACTCGAGACTCAAATGAGCGAGGAACTTTTAATAAGTTCTACTGATGATAGGATTAATTTAAATCGATCTAAAATAGTGGTGGATAATATTTTTGCATATAATGTTGCACTAAATATTATGCAAGATAGTGAGGATTTTAAGCCCAGATCTGTCGAAGAATGTCGACAAAGATCTGATTGGACAAAATGGCAAGAGACAATTCAATCAGAACTGAACTCACTTCATAAAAGAGAGGTCTTTGGACTAGTAGTCCAAACATCTGCTAGTATAAAACCAGTTGTCCATAAATGGGTTTTTGTGCGGAAAAGGAATGATCAAAATGATATTGAAAGATACAAAGCTCGCCTTATCGCACAAGGATTCTTACAACGACCTGGAGTCGATTTGGATGAAACATATTCACCTGTTATGGATACCATAACATTTCGATATCATCATCTTAACCCTATATGAAAGGCTTGAAATACATCTAATAGATGTAGTTACAGCTTATCGGTACAGTTCACTTGATAATAAAATTTATATGAAAATCCCTGAAGGATTTAAAATGCCTGAGGCAAATTCAAAATCTTGAGAAATATATTCAATCAGATTACAAAGATCTTTGTAGGTTTAAAGCAATCTGGGCGCATGTGGTATAATCGCCTTAGTGAATATTTGCTGAAAGAAGGTTACATAAATGATGTTATTTGTCCATATATTTTTATAAAGAAAATGGCATCAGAATTTGTTATACTTGCTATTTATGTTGATGACATAAATCTTGTTGGAACTCCAAAAGAGCTCCAAAAGGCAATTGACTATCTTAAGAAAGAATTTGACATGAAAGATCTTGGAAAGATAAACTTTGTCTCGGTATGCAAATTGAACATTTAGCAGACGAGATCTTTATCCATCAATCTGCCTATACAGAAAGGGTCTTAAAACGTTTTTACATGGACAAAGTGCACTCATTGAGTACACCAATGATTGTTCGAGAAGTGAATAAGGACCAGTTCCGACCTCCAGAAGAGGATGATGAACTCTTTAGTCCTGAAACACCATATCTCAATGCAGTTGGTGCACTTACGTATCTTGGTAATGCTACAAGGCCTGACATAGCATTTTCTGTTAATTTACTAGCAAGATATAGCTCTTCTCCTACACAGAGATATTGGAATGAGATTAAGCATATATTGCGATATTTAAAGGGAACTCTTGATATGTGTTTGTTGTATGCTAACAAAGATAGTGCAGATCTTGTTGTGCAGATACAAATTATTTATCTGATCCCCATAAAGCTCAATCTTAAACCGGGTACGTGTTTACATGTGGAGGTACTATCATATCATGGCGCTCCACAAAGTAATCTATTATTGCCACTTCTTCAAATCATGTTGAGATAATAGTTATTCATGAAGCAAGTAGGGAATGCGTATGGTTGAGATCGGTGATTCATTTCATTCAAGAAAAATGTGGTTTGGAATGTGATAAAAGATCCACAATTTTATATGAGGACAATGTTGCATGCATAGCCCAATCGAAGGGAGGATTTATAAAATGAGACAGAACGAAGCACATTTCACCAAAATTATTCTACACACACGATCTTCATAAAAATGTGACATTAATGTGCAACAAATCCGTTCAAGTTGACATTTCGATAGATTTGTTCACTAAATCTTTGCCAACTTCAACTTTTGAGAAGATGGTATATAAGATTGGAATGCGGAGACTCAAATATTTGAAATAAGATTTTCATCAGGGGGAGTGAAATACGCGCTCTACTCTTTTTTCCTTGCTAAGGTTTTTCCCATGGGGTTTTTCTTGTAAGGTTTTTAATGAGGCAACTAGAAATACATATTAATAAATATGTGTACTCTTTTTCCTTCACTAGATTTTTTCCCACTGGATTTTTCCTAGTAAGGTTTTAACGAGACACATTATCTTTTAATGAACATCCAAGGGGGAGTGTTATGAAACTATTATATTGTGGATGTCCATTTTACTCTGTTATAGTTAATCTTTCTGAAGAAGATTATCCATTTCGTACTCTGTTGAAATTTAGCTATAAGCAGCTGATGCAGGCAGGTTGCAAGCAACTCAATGAAATGATTTGCAGCAGCTTCTTATTAAACAGGCAGGTTGCGAGCAGCTCATGCAGACAACTTACAAGCAGCTCAAAAAAAGCCTTACAGTTGCTTCCTGAAAAGCCTCGTAGCTGCTTCCTGAAAAGCCTCGCAGCTGCTTTCTTTCTTCTATAAATAAATGAGTTTTTAGTTCATTATGTACATCCGTTTAAAATTAAATAATATATCAGTTTCTTTTTATACTTTCTTTGATTTATTTACTTTATGGTCGTTATTTTATGACATTAGCTTACTAGTTAAGCTTTTAGGGAAAGACAAAAATGATCGTTTACACTTTGGTTAAAGGATTTACCCATTGGGTATAAGGATGTCATGTCACCATCACATGTCACATCAACTGTCTAGTCACATCATATGATTTGACCCGTATTTTTTGAATTAAATTTTGTTCATGTAATTAATAGACTCTGTTACGAATTAGAAAATATTTATTTAATTAAAAAATCTCGTAGTATTTATTTAAAATGTCAACAACTACAATAATATTGTAGTAATTATTATTTTATTATTTTAAAAGGATAATAAATTGATATAATACCCTAATATTTCAAGAATAAGACAATTATCAATAAATTATTTGAAATTTAGAAAAAATGCACAAAATGGTAGCATTTAACTAATTGCAAAAAATGATAAAAAATTCTATATTTTGTGAAAATAAAAATAATTATCAATAAATTGTTTTAAAGTTAAAAATGTTCAAAAATGCTATATTTTACTATTTAATGACTAGGAAGTCTGCATAAGTTATTTTCAAAATTGAGTGTCAACACTATGCGATTCATTATTTACATTCATGCATGGTATATTAAAAACTTGCTAGGGATATGATGGGGAGATGGCGGGACAGATGACTTTACTGGACTTTTAGCTTACCACTCACTATTCTGTGCAAATCCATCTTCTAGTACTGCTTCTGAACCTGTTTGATCTGGTCAAGGCATTCATGAGTTTCAGCTAAGGTGAGCCAACTACTTTATTGATGGTGGCATTATTGTGTTCATTTTCCTTTATGTATTTTGGGCTACGCCTAGATGCTCCATGACATTGTGTTTGTACGATATTGATTGTACCGCTCTTTCATTTGACTTCGCTACTTTGATCATGTGTTATATATGAAATTTGCTTTGTGTTGATCATGTTATCTGATTCACTTGGTGAGGGTAAGTGCTCATCCGGTTTGCTTGGCGGACGTAGGTGCTCTCTAGGTGCCAATCACAGACTTTTAAAATTGGGTTGTAACACCATTTTTCCTCATTATCCAACACCACCACCACCGCCGGGGGCGGATGTAGTATGGTAATGACGGATTCAATCGAACCCATAATATTCGACGTAGAGTAAAAGTTTATATGTAAAATTTGGTAAACTTGTAAAAAAAAGTAGATATGAACCCATAACTTTAAAAATATAATGGGTTCAATATTAAAACCTTAAAAGTTGAACCCATAGAATTTAAATCTTGAATCCGCTCTAACTATCGCCAGCAAAGCAAACATCTGTTAGTTTATCTGCATGCATTATATCCTATTTGAACTAACAACGTAAAAGAAAATAAATAGTTTATCTGCATGCATTATATCCTATTTGAACTAACAACGTAAAAGAAAATAAATGACAAATGTTGTAATTCTTGCTGTCATAAATTCATTTATGGTTTGCTTCACCTTTTAATGCCCCCAAATCCAGATCCAATAATTTGCATAATGTGATTTCCCTTCAAGGTCAATTGTAGCAACTTTTTCACTTAGGCGATACTGAAGAGTTATATCTTTATGTAAGATCTAGCCGGCCGTTTTGAGTATCTTAGCCCATTTTCCCTATTTGATGCTTTATATATGTGTATTTGTTGTTATGTAACTTGTGGGGATGATTGGTCTAGTTTCGGGAGAGTTTTGGATTGAATTGGGACACTTAGTCCCAAAGTTGGAGACATAAATTGTAAGAACTGATCGGAGCTTGACTTTTGTGTAGACTACCCCGGAATGGTATTTTGATTGTTCCAAAAGATTTGTATGGTGATTTGAACTTAGGCGTATGTTCGAATTTGGATTTGGAGGTTCCTATGTTGATTTGGTTCTATTTGGTGAAAGTTGAAAACTTGAAGGTTTGGAAGGTTCATAGGTTTGACCGGGAGTTGACTTTGATGATATTGGGTTCAGATTGTGGTTCCGTGAATTGAATAGGTCCGTTGTATCATTTAAAACATGTACGCAAACTTTCATGTCATTCTGAGTTGTTTAGGCATGTTCGGCATAAGTTTTGAATTTTGAAATTTGGATTAGTTTCTTAGGCTTGATTTGAGATGCAATTCGTGATTTTGATGTTGTTTGGTGTGATTTGAGGCCTCGAGTAGGTTCGAGTTTATATTTTGGGATTGGTTTGTACGATTGGATGGGGTGCCGAGAACCTCTAGTGTGTTTCAAATGGGTTTCATCCTTTGTTTTGGAACTACTGGTTTTCTGATGTTCTGGTGTTCTTCACGATCGTGGATGGTATGTCGTGATCGCAGAGTGTTTCGGTGGTAGGTGATGGTTGCTCTTTGCATTAGCGAGGGGTTGGTCGCGTTCCCGGAGCATGTGGGGGTAGTAGCCTTCGCGTTCGCGACCTGGACATCACGTTCACGTAGAGGAAGGCCGGTTGGGGGGATGTCATGTATTTGGTCTTCACGTTTGTCTGCATGCTACTGCGTTCACGTGCATGCTATTGCGTTCGTATGTGCCCAGTAGGTTTGGTCATAACGTTCGTGTGGATGGTCTCACGTTCGTGGAGAAGGGGCAACAGCTGGGCATGGGATTGGTCTTTGCGATCGCGACGTAGGTCCCACGATCGCGAAGTGTATAACTGGGCAGAATCACTTAAGTACTCTATTTCGAGAGTTTTGGTTATTTATCACATTTTGAGATCTAGAGCTCGATTTTGGACGATTTTGGAGCAGATTTTCACGATTTGGATTATGGTAAATATTTATGCTCGGGGTCCTGTTTAGGTTATTTTATAAAATAAATCCGTTGCTAAGCTTCATGTTAACATACTTCTTTTGTTGTACTCCTTTTGTGAGCTATTTGAATCATGTTAGAGATTATTTGTTAGTTGATCTTTTGGTCAAGCATATTAGTTGCTATTCGTGTGGCGTAGTAGCCTGACTTGAACTGTGGTAGCACATTTCACATATGCCTACACTTTATCATGTCATTTATATCAGGTCATAAGTATGTAAATTGATTTTTATTGTTCATTTGTATATGCTTTATGTGTAATATGGACTCAGTTGATAGCACTTGAGTGGTCCATGCGGATCTGAGTTGTCTTAGTATGTGAGCTTTCACTGCGATAGTTATATCTGCATGTGAGTTGTCCGTGCAGCGTGTGGATAAGGATCCATCTCCCTAGGTCCACCCTCTCTTGTTTCTATCTTGATGGGGTACACGCGGTATGAGGAAAATTGGCCAGTGTGTGTTGTGGTTATTGCATTTCTTCTTTACTTGCAATTTCCTTGGATGTATATATGTTTAGTCGCATATCTTCTCTATATGCTAGATCAGGAATGTATACATACCTTGTTTGCATATCTTCTCTATATTCTGGATTGATTAACTGAGACAAAGCATGTTATGTTATCTTGTGCATCAAGGAGGCTTTATTTGAGATTCATGACTTGTTGATATTATTGTTGTATACATGTGAAATTCATGAACTGTACAGGTTATTAACGAGTATCATTATGAATTCTTGCATCTATTACCTCACGGAGGTTAGTTATGATACTTGCTGAGTACGTGGGGTCGGTTATATTCATACTACACTCTGAATTTAATTGTGCAGATCCAGGTGTTGGACCGAGCCGAGGTTAGTTGTGTTTTGTTGTTGTGATCATTTTGAGAGACGCGGAAGAGCTGCATCTCGACCGCAGTCTTGGCGTCTCTATTCATTTCTGTACTATTGTTTTCATTCAGACTGTACTTCACTTAGTATTCCAGACTTGTACTTCCGTTTTAGAGTTCATGATTCTGTATTTACCAGTTCTGTGGGATTTGTTATGTATTGACACAATTATTTTATGTTATTGGCTTTAGAATTGTATTATTCTCGTTATTCCTATTATCTCGTTCCGCTCTTATTATGTTTGGCTTGTCTAGCAAGTGAGCTAGGCGAAATCACGACTGGTTGATGATTTTGGATCGTGACACTTCACTGATACTCTCTTATGTTAGAATCACAGAGCTATCATATTCGTGTGAAAAAACCTGTTTGCTTATGCTATTTGTTGCTTGAATTTGAACTTGAACAAGCTTAGATTGTAGCTGTACTTGAACCGAAACCATTGTAACATAAGTTTTAAAAACCAAACTGTCATTCACCTAGTGATGAAAAAAATAGGAGAATGACCAATAATACGCATAAAAGAGAACTAAGAAACTAAAAGGAAATGAAAGACTCACCTCTTGGAAAAATAAAATTAGTAAGCATATTCATCAGCTTGTAAGCTATTTGAATGGTTTGCCTAACGTGTCCAAGTCGGCGTTATAGTCTTAATTATTATGACTCAATTGGATCAAGGAGGCTTAAAGAAAAGATACTTCAAATTCTAAAGGATGCCAACTGTTCAACACATCTTTTAGAGATTAGTTAGGACTTGGGAGTAATTCGAACCGACACCATTTTTTATGCATCAGTTTTTTTCATTGTTTATAAAGTAAGGTATTTGAATAATTTAGAAGGATATTTTAGTAATTTAACTTTTAAGTTAAGGACTTCATGCTTTTAATATAATATATATATATATATATATATATATTAGTAGCTCGTGATGTGATGGTTCAACTTACAAATACAGCAGATGCACCAAGTGCCAATGCTTTGAAGACATCAGTCCCACGCCGAACTCCACCATCCAGAAAAACAAGGATTCTGCCTTGCACTGCTTTGACAACCTGCACGATTTTCGTTTTAGTCCACAGTTTATCAACAAATTTACCAAGTGAATATCAGCGAGGCATCAATGCCGCGCCAAGGAGTTGAGACAGCGAGGCATACACCTCAATGGCTATTATTTTCAATTTTGAAAGGTGCAGTATAAACAATAAATATAGCTGGAAACTAATGTACAAATTGTTAATGAAACGTCAAGTATGAATATATACTAGCGATTATCAGTTGGAAATTAGAAACTTTAATATAAAAAATAAATCACTGAAATATGAAATAGAGGTTTAAAACTACATGACAACAGACTTTTGAACTTAATTGACATGGTTTTACTTTATGTGTGTTACTTAATAACAGCTTTTGTAATTCTTTCTACCACATACTTTTTGTTTGTGTCTAGTTATAAGCCTTTCTTCACTCAAATGAACGCTTTTAAATGGACTTGAAATCCAGGCTGACCTTATCGTTTCTTTCTTCCGCCTTAAACACTCAGCATAGCTGCGTCGATGAGAAAGTCCTACATATGCTCATCTAGATAAAAGGAGAAGGGATAGCAAATTAACCTCTTCCAAGGCCGTTATAGTTGCCGGAGCATAATCAAGCTGTCGAGCCCCATGATTTGACACAATAATTCCTGCTGCTCCAGCTTGTACAGATAACCTTGCTATGCTTATCAAAACAGGAAAATAGTACATATGATTCACGATTGTTTCAAGATAGAATTTAAAGACAAATGATGGCATTCACATGTTATGTTCTGGCATACCGTCTTCTGCAGTTAATACACCCTTCAGTAGAATTGGCAAGCCGGTTATTGTCTGGAGCCATTTCACATCCTGGGCATTTTCCTTGAAGAGATTTTCAGATCAGTGATAGTTTCAGCCTCCTTCAATTGTAAAGTTAAGTAGAAATTACCTTCCAGTTAAGAGATCGATCAAATTGGCCGGCTATATCTGAGGCAAGTCCAGAGTCATTAGTCTACAGGGTCACCCACAAAGTGCATAATAAGCAAAAACGCCACAAACGGACATATTAGGTCTTGTATATAGACGTCTACATGTAAAATTATTCACCCTATCTATTTTTCCAAGATCCAGTCCTTCAAAGTTCTCCAGTGCCAAGTGAGGTGGCAAAACAAATCTGTAAGAGACAAGAACTGAACCAGCTTAGGATGAGGAACCAAATCACATAGTCGAGTGTTTCAATATGCAAACTTCCCGAAAGAAAAGTAGAAGAACAAATTACCTGTTCTTGATATCAGCTTCTCTTCGGCCAAGCTTTGGAGTATCAACTGTGAGAACAATTGCCTTGAATCCAGCTCTTTCTGCCCTTCTCACAAGTTGCAGAGCAACACTCCTGTCTTTGTACACCTAAACAATTTAATTGTCAAGAATGAATCCAAGAGGTACTCGAGATGGAGCGAGTAGCATAGTAGTGTGATGGTTAGGTTAAAAAAAAAGACACATAATTATCTTTAAAGACAATTACATATAATAATTTGATCAATGTTTAATGAAAAGCTAATGTAAACAATTAACAAGCGCAACTCACATAGAGCTGGAAAAAGCGAATGCCAGGTCCTGTTGAAGCAACCTCTTCTAAAGTGGAAGTAGCCAATGAGGATAATGTCTAAAATTACCAAATGAATTTCCGTCAGAGCATGGTTATACAGGTTATTAGTAAAATAGAAGGCACGAGAATTGCAATAAAACAATATTAAGATGAATAGGTTTAGCCAATATTTATTATTTATTCTTTTTAGAAACAAAACAGAATGTATAGAGAAAATGCAAACCATGATTGTGCCAGCAGCTGATGCTGCTCGTGCTGTCACATATTCTCCTGTATCAAAGTAAAAGTAGGACATTGAAATAAGTATTCATAGTCAGAACCAGATAGATGGTTACTTGAGAAACTAATAAAGCTTCGTAACAAATGCAATTCTGCCGAGATCTCAGTAAGGGAAAAATGCACAAGGATACGAGGAATTGGTGCAAGATACCTTCAGGATGATACATTTTCTGCATTGCAATTGGTGCAACCATGAGGGGCATTGAAATCTTGAACCCCAAAACATTTGTGGTTATATCAATGTTGCTTACATCTACAAGGATACGAGGCCTGAACGCTGAACCTGTTCCAACGAAACACCAATTTTCATTGTAATTGACAAAAACAAGTTATTTTAGCAGTAAATTTTCTCGCTACAAGTGGGAAAAAACGAAGTTTAAGTGGGAAGGCATTGGCATTTGAGATGGAGAAAGAAAAAGGATTCAACAGTATCACCGTGCCTAATAGAAAATACTTACATTATTCTAGAAAATGCATTTCGATTCTCTTGGGGTGTCCACTGGTCCTCTGCTCCGGAGGCATAAAAGTCATATACCATCTTCGGTAATTTCTGCTTTGCAAGGTCCTCGTACTCCATAATATTGGTGATATGAACCATCTCAATTTTGTTCACTGTATGCAAAATCACTATTACACTCAGAAAAAATCAATTACATTTAGCATACAAGAACATTTAGCAAAACTCATTATACTCTAACATATCAAAAAGGAAAGAAGAAAAATGAAAAGTAGTACATAGTACTCCCTCCGTTCCATTTTATGTTAACCTATTTACTTTTTGGTGCGTTCCAAAAAAAATGACCCTTTTCTAAATTTGGAAACAATTTAGTTTAAACTTCCTATTCTACCCTTATTGATAAGCTTTTATAACCACACAAATACTCTAGACCCCTTTTTCACTTGTTTAGGACTGACTACAAATTTTAGAAGTCTTCATTTTTTCTTAAACTCCGTGCCCAATCAAACAGATTCACATAAATTGGAACGGAGGGAGCAGTAAACAAGAAGAAAAAATCACCTTGTGGCATATAATGATTGGTATGTATATACAACCAATGAACACAACCTTCACGTAAAAGATGAATCTTACTAGAAAACACTGAATAGGAGATAATCACAAGAATCTCATCTAAAGGGACAGTTCAGTACAGAAATTCAGTGACTAAGGGACAGTGGTGGATGAAGCTTTTTATACCGAAGGTAAATATATACATGAAAAAATTATAAAAGCCTAATAAATATTCTCCCTATTTCATTTTTATATAAACTTGTTTGGCTGACCACGAAATTTAAGATAGGAAAAAAAAACTTTTGGAGCTAATTGTCTTAAACATGCTAGGACAGTTGTGTAGCTATAAAAATATTAGTTTAAAATTAAATTATTTTCGAAAAATAAAAGAAATAAAGTCAAATAAATTGGAGGCAAGGGAGTATTAGGTCTAATCAAGAACTTTAAAACGTTAAAATCATCAAAATGAAATATTGAATCCGCAATTAATCTAGTGCAAAAGCTAGATGACAACAACAACAACATACACACTATTATCTCACACTGTGGAGTCTGGGGAAGGTAGTGTATACGCAGACCTTATTCTACCGTGTTAGGATAGAGTGACTGTTTTCAATAGACCCTTGGCTCAGGAAAGCATAAGCACCACATTAATGAAAATATAGATAGGAAGGGACAGTACCAAAAAACCATATAAAAGTAGAATAAAAACAACAAAATAGTAAGATGATCAACAATGAAATTAAGATAAAACAACGGTTAGTCATAAAAGTTTACTACCAATAAAAAGCGAGACTGTGTACCAAAAAAGCCAGACAAAGAAGAATAATAGAGAAGGAATAACAAGAATAGACCAGGGTGGCTGTAAACTATAGTTTGCTGGTCACACCAAGCAAAGGGTTGCAATTGAATGGGATTTAAAGGGCAACGAAAGAGAGCTGTTAGCAAATGTATGACGCATGCCCCGAAAGCGAAAGAACCGCGAAGTTTCAACTCGGCAAGAATACAAAAGCCACTATAAGAACAAGATAAAGTAGACACTAGAAAATCACCCCAAAAACAAAACAAATAAAAAAACAACTCGTGAATTGGGACAGTTTAACACAACAATCCAAAGATTTAAGTCACTAAGGGTGATTTGGTTACACATAAAAAAATTCAATATAAAATTCAGCAAAATATAATACTTTCTCCGTTTCAACTTATGTTGGGATATTTGATTCCGTACCGAGCTAATTAAGAAAGAAGATTTTTGGAATGTGTAGCCTTAAACCTGTTATGATATTGTGTGGATACTAAAAATTTATCATTAAGCGTACAATGAAAATTGTAAGTTTAAATTATTTCCAAAATATATATAAAGGTGACATTCCTTTTTACAAGAGACTAACAAGAAATGAATATTACATAAATAGAGTAGATAGAGTATACCCTTTGGTTGTGGGATTTTAAAATATAAATTCTTGCATAAATAATATATCACGTTTAGTTGGCAGTATAAGAAAAAATAATCCTCATATAATTATTCTGTATACGGTAAAAATCGGGGCTACCCGATTTCGTCCTTTGATGGAAAAAGTTATAACACATCGGAAGGCCAGGACACCAAGTTCGGGGTCGAAGTTTCTTTCCAAGATCGAGGTCGATATGACTTACCGAGGTCAGAAGAGGGAATACTTCGAGATGATGCTGGTATAGTTCAGTAATGGAAAGAGCAAGATACCCGCAACGGATCGAAGATCATGGCATGAATTTCGGAGTGGATTGGTGGCGATTAATCAGTTGTCAAATATGATTTCCTACTATAATTAGAAGTGTACCTTATTTAGGACTCTCCTATTATATAAAGGGGGATCTCATTCATTTGTAATCATTATTATTCACTCAGAATGATATATACAGTCATTACTTTCTTGCTATTTCACTTTACTGTTCATCAGAGCTGCTTTATCATTTGTCATTCCTATTATCACACCTCAAGACTACCATAGGCCGAGGTCGAGATTTGGCTTACATACCGATTTGATTTATTTTATTCTCTAATTTATCTATTTAATTCCTTGTTTATCAATTGGTATTGGATTAAATCACAAATCCTTAAAACCACAATATAAATTTAATTGTTACTCGAATTTTTGGGTAAACAGTTTAGTGCCCACCGTGGGGCTAAGGATAATAGTAATTGTTTCAGTACTAATTCTGATAACACATGTTATTTCACACTTGTTCTTGTCAAGTATTTTTGCTCTTAGGTTAAAACATGTCAAACTCACAAAATGCACTCGTACATGGTGATGATGGTCTCAGATTTCATGGGGACAATGTAATTGCTCCAGGAGCTGGGGTACACCGGCGGATATCGGGGGAGCACCGGTTGTCGATCCAGTCGATATCAGTTCGCATGTTGCTCTAAATGCGGACCTAGGCGCGGACCCTGAAGGGAGTGTACGCAGGGAAGGCCGATCTGGTGGTCAAGGTACACAGGGCAGAGGAGACGAAATAGTTAGCCTCCATGTGATATTTGAAATGCTACAGGCTCAGCAGGCCGCTATTGCTCAGTAGCAAAATCAACATAGGACTCCAAGTGGGATCGAGCCAGAAATCACTCGTTGTACCGAGCTAGTGCCATAAAGGTCGAATGACAACGAATCAGTGACTGATCCTACAATAATGAAAATGCTCGAGGAGCTCACCAAAAGAATTGAGTCATGAGAGAAGAAAATCAAGGATAATGATAAAAAGTTGAAAACATACAACTCCCGAGTTAATCAGATACCGGGGGCACCCCCAATCCTAAAGGGTTTGGATTCGAAAAAGTTCGTGCAGAAGCCTTTTCCTCAAAGTGCAGCTCCGAAGTCCATTCCCAAGAAGTTCTGTATGCCGGACGTACCTAAGTACAATGGGACCATCGATCCTAACGAACACATCACTTCGTACACATGCGGGATAAAGGGATATGACCTAGAAGATGATGAAATCGAATCTGTGCTGTTGAAAAAGTTCGGAGAAACCCTTTCGAAGGGAGCAATGTTTGGTATCACAACCTGCCACCAAATTCCATCGACTCATTTGCCATGTTAGCAGATTCTTTCGTAAAGGCACACGCCGGGGCCATAAAGGTCGCAACAAGAAAATCGGACCTTTTCAAGATAAGACAAAGGTATAACGAAATGTTGAGGGAGGTCGTATCCCGATTTCAATGGAACACATGGAGTTTAAACCGGTCACGGATGATTGGGCCATTCAAGCTGTCACTCAAGGGTTGAACGAACGTAGTTCGATATCGTCGCGTCAGTTGAAGTAAAATTTGATCGAGTATCCAGGTGTGACTTGGGCAGATATGCACAATCTATATCAATTGAAGATCAGGTTTGAGGACGACCATTTAAGAGCCCCTTCCGGTTCAGTACATCCAAATAGGTCGGTAGTTAAAACCCCAAGGGACGTTGATAGGGAGCCAAGGTCAAATAGAGAACGATATCAACCATATACTGCACATTGAAGGAATAATGGTTCGCGATGCAATTCCGCCTAGAATGATCGAAGAAGTGATCGAGGACAGAATTCTCGGGGACTTATGAGAAAAGTGGTTTTGATAAGCATGTTGATCCCATAGAGGCACCTCGATTATCAGAATATAAATTTAGCATCGACACATCGGGCATTGTATTGGCAATCGGAAGGATCAAAGATACTAGGTGGCCCAGACCCATACAGACCAATCCTTCCCAAAGAAACCCAAACTTGATGTGCAAGTATCATGGCACGCATGGTCACAAGACCAAGGATTGCAGGAAATTGAGGGAGGAGGTAGCCCGTCTATTCAATGAGGGCCACCTTTGAGAGTTCCTCAGTAATCGAGCCAAGAATCATTTCAGAGAAAGGGATGCCAACAGGAAAAATGAATAGGACGAACCGCAATATATCATTCATATGATCGTCGGTGGGGTAAACATTTCACAGGGACCCATATTCAAACGCACTACGATATCAATCACTAGGGAAAAATGAACCCGAGATTATGTTCCCGAAGACTCCTTATCATTCAACGACGAAGAAGCAGAAAGCATTTCTCAGCCACACAACGACGCTCTAGTAATTTCTATATTATTAAATAAAGTTCAAGTTAAGCGTGTTTTAGTGGATCCAGGTAGCTCGACGAATATCATCAGATCCAGGGTCATGGAGCAACTCGGCCTACAAGATCAAATCGTGCCCGCAACTTGGATCTTAAACGGCTTCAACATAGCCAGTGAAACAACAAAAAGGGAGATTATTTTACCGATGAACGTAGATGGAACCATTCAAGATACCAAATTCCACATGATTGAGGGCGACATGAGGTATAATGCGCTACTCGGGAGGCCTTGATCCACAACATGAGGGCAGTCCCCTCGACTCTCCACCAAATGATGAAATTTCGATGACGGATGATGTAAAAATAGTATACGGGGAGTAGCATGCCGCAAAGGAAATGTTTGTGGTCGATGAGGTAACACCGATATCAACACTATCAACCTCGGAAAGGTCGAGCATCAATGGTAAATAAGAAGCCAAATAGCAATCACAGCCACCAGCCTCGACCGAATCAGGAAAGC